TTCGTCGCGTTGTGATGACGTCATATACGCGATTTCGTCGACCGCGCTTTTGTGGAACGCGGTTTTGACGGGTCATGTAATTTAAGGGTTATTCTGATCATTTGAAGATTTCCATTTCTTTTCTTCCATTTCTACCTCCAATCAGCTAATTTTTGGAAACATTACAGAATGCTGTAAAACCTTTCTACCAGCCGTGTAAGTGGAAAGAGTGTAAATATCAAAGGCAACACTTTGCGTATATCATCTTTCTTCTGTGGGGATGAACCTTTGCAGAAAAAGGAAGCTGAAAAGCTCTGTATTTAGCCAAGGTCCTTATGAAATAAAATATCAATAGCTCTGCCACTTGAACAGATATTGCTCAATAATGCTCAAATATTTTATTTATTTATTTATTTATTGAGTTTATATAGCCATCTATTCATCCATGGTGACTCAAGGTGGCTTGCAGAATATAAAACCACATTTAAACCAGTAAAACTAATAAAAAGGATCAAATAAATTAATATAGGATAATAAAATCACCCCTATCCCCCTGCTCCAGCAACAGCAGCTCACATAAGCCTCCATCCTACTCGGAGTTCCCCAGGCCCACTGGCAGAATGGGGTCTTTAGCGCCTTCCGGAAGAATACTAGAGTGGGGACTGTTTTAATCTCTGGTGGAATGATGTTCCAGAGAGAGGGAGCCACCACAGAGAAGGCCCTTCTTCTGGGTCCCACCCGAGAACTTCCTAGTGTTATTTACTCCAATGCCTCCAGTTATTTGTCTCCCCCAGTGAATTGGTGCTATTGTCAGCCATTCAAAATATACCAGACCAGGAAACCAGAGCCAAGCAGGCCAATACAGTTTTAATATAGCAATGACAATAGCACTTAGATTTATACACCACTTCATAGGGCTCTCTCTAAGTGGTTTACAGAAATAGCATATTGCCTCCAACAGTCTTGGTCCTCATTTTACCAATTTTGGAAGAATGAAAGGCTGAGTCAACCTTGAGAAGGTCAAGATCGAACTCCTGGCAGTGGGCAGAGCTAGCTTGCAGTACTGCATTCTAACCATTGTGCCACTATGGCTCAGATAATATATTTTTGAAAGTCTGAATGTCCTTCTCCCTCCCTCTCTTTATCCTCATGAGAACTATGTCTTGTCTGAGATATTTTCTCAGGTTATAATTCTTCCCTGGACTCAGATGTCTTTCATCTGATGACTAGCAGCTCTTCTTCCTGCTCCTCAAGGAATTGCCCAGGTTATTATGCCTAAACCTCTGCTTCATGACAATGAATGTCCTCTACTCCTTTAATGTAGAAATTCAGCTGCGCAAAAGCACTCTACATCTCAGACTCTGACAAAAGGAAACACTTCCGGCTAGCCCTGAAGCTTTTCTTCAGCAACGGGCAGGAGATTGGCACATTCCACAGCAAGCTGATCAAAGTGATCTCCAAGCCCTCACAGAAAAAGCAATCCCTGAAGAACACAGACCGTAAGTCTTTCCATGAAGAGAAGTTGCTGAAAGTCCTTTGGGGTGGCCTTGTTGCCAGGAGAGGTGGTGGATTGGAATACATTAAAGAAGGTGCTAGCGTATTAAGACAGGCTAGTGTCTAGGACATAGTTGCTTTGCTTTGACATTTCAGGGAATAAAATCAGATAACCGGAGATGGAAAAGTTCTCTTTCTGAGCCTTCGGAGAGATGCTGTCACTTAAAACAATGATGGGGTGGTACGTGGTGCTTAGACAGGGGTAGGCTTCAACAAATTTAGCAAGGGGTTCTCTGCTCAGTTGCTGGTTAGGCGTGACCATGGTGGGCATGGCATAGTCAGCCTCCTGCACCATGGGGGGGGGGGCTTTTTGCCCTCCCCGAGCTCCAGAGGTTTTCTTCGAGCCTCCGGGAGGGCAAAAACAGTCTCCCCAGGCTCTGGAGGCCCTTTGGAGGCCAGAAACAGGTCCATTTCTGGCCTTCCCAAACTTCCAGTAGGCGCGTTTTTCACCCTCCCTGAGCCTCCGTGCACACCATGTACTTATCTGCATCCAAAACTGGCTGCGTCGGGACCCCTGGGAGGGGAGGGGAGGCATGGGTGTGGCCAGTCAGAAATGGGATTTGGAGGTTCTCTGAACTGCACACAATCTTAGATAGAGGTTCTGCCAAACCCCTGCAGACACCCAGCAGCCCACCCCTGGGCTTAGGTAGCTTCTTACATTAAAGCAGATAACAAAGAGCAGAAGAACTGCAGGCCAAGTGAAGGTCTGACCAGCTAGAGGTGCAAAGCTAGAGTCATAACGACATCATCTTTATCAATTCACATTCGTGTAGAACAATCCTACCAGGGTTGTTCAGTTTAACCCATTTGTATTTATGCGCCTAGGACTACAATGTCAATATTTTTCCATCTATAAGACACCCCCATGTATAAGACGCCCCCATGTTTCATGTAGCTTCTTGTAGTAAGCACACTACCAGCCATCATGTGCAGAAGCCATCTTGTTAGAGTGAGTAGTACAACAAGAACAGGAAATGCATCACAGGAACAATAGAGATGAAACCTAGAGTGGCAATGGGATACAGGAAACAACCAGTGGTGGGATTCAAAAAAATTTACTCCTGGTTTTGTGGGCTTGGTTTGGTGGGCATGGCATGGCATGGCTTGGTGGGCATGGCATGGCATGGCTTGGGGGGCATGGCAGGGGGAGGGTACTGTAAAATCTGCATTCTGTCCCCACTCCAGGGGAAGGCTCCTGCAAAATCTGCATTCCTACCCAATCAGCTGGGACTCAGGAGGCAGAGAATAGATGGGGGCGGGGCCAGTCAGAGATGGTATGTACCAGTTCACCAAACTACTCAAAATTTCCACTACTGGTTCTCCAGAAGTGGTCAGAACTGCTGAATACCACCTCTGGAAACAACTACAATAGAGAGGAATGATAGATGCTCATCTGGCATGTGAAGCCTTCTCCTCTCGGTCTCCTGTATATAAGTCGCCCCTCCATTTTCAAGCAAATATTTTAAAGAAAAAAGTAGCGTCATATACATACGGCAATAAAAATCTAAATATACACGTAAAAACTCCAAACTTGTTTCTTTCTTTCTCTCCCTCTCTCTCCCATTTGCAATTTCCTAGTGTGCATTTTATCTGGGTCAAAGGTCTCTCTCTTCAACCGCCTGCGCTCGCAAACTGTCAGCACCCGCTACCTTTTTGTCGAGGATGATGCCTTCACCGCAAGTGCCCGGCAGTGGGCAGCCTTCACACTTCATCTAGGTGAGGCTGGTTTAGGCTAAGCAGAGGTTTAATCATTCATGCTGGAGCCTAATTGCAAATCTGTTTACCCAATTGCTTAATGACCTTGAGTGGCTGAAGACTATCAAAATGGAGACAGGCTGAATAAACTTTTGATACTGAAATGAAATAATACATTATGATTCTATGAGAGTAGGCTTTAACCTCCAATAAGCTTTGGAGACAGGTGATTTAGCATATCACATTAAGATCTGAAATAGATGTCAGTTTTCTAAAAGGAATGGATGTAACATTCTTACCAATACTAGGAATAGGGACATATGCCAGGTTTCCAAGCGATGAAACCCATTCAGAAAAGAAACATGCAAAGTTCATCTTCCAAAACAATTTTCTTTTTTATTTAGGTAAACATCAAATTGGCAAAGTCTGTTGTAATTCTGGATCTGACATCAACCGGAATTACACCAAATAATATTGTAATTTAGAAATATCCCACAAAAGTCACATTCTCCAATAAACGCTCAGTCAACATCGCCCAGTGTCACCACCTTCCAATTTCAGCAGGAGAAGCCTCTGTTCCCACGGGAGAGAAGGTCACCTAGCCAAAACAATCCTCATTATCTATTAACTCCCCTCCCACCTTAAGAATGTGACAACCCCGAAAAAAACCTCTTACACAGTAAAGAGAAAGAAAAGGTTAGAGATTCCAAGCTAGGAGAAGGAGAAAAGGAAGAACTAGAAGGAAGAAAGGAAGAACTTCCCGCTCCAACACTGGATGTTTTTAAGAAGACATTGGACAACCATTTTTCTGAAATGGTATAGGGTTTCCTGCCTGAACAGAGTATTGGACTAGAAGACCTCTAAAGTCCCTTCCAACTCTGCTATTTTTTATTCTGTTAAGAAGGGGTGGGTGTATATATGTGCATCAATGTTTCAATTTATACTTTGTCTTAAAGCATAATTTGGTTTATTTGGGTTCAATGTACTGAATTATACCATTATATTGGTAGATTACAGGGATGTGGTGGCTCAGTGGTTAGGAAGCTGAGCTTGTCTATCAGAAAGGCCAGCAGTTCGAATCCCTAGTGCTGTGGAATGAGCTCCTGTTACTTGTCCCAGCTTCTGCCAACCTAGCAGTTCGAAAGCATGTAAAAAATGCAAGCAGAAAAAATAGGAACCATCTTTTGTGGGAAGGTAACAGCATTCCGTGCACCTTCAGCATTTAGTCATGCCGACCACACAGAGGTGGGTTCCTACCAGTTCGCACCTATCAGTAGAACCGGTTTGTCAAATCTACCAAACCAGTTAGAAGAGGTTCCACCAGTGGACCCGGAAAGCAGGCCACACCTACAGAAGAGGTTCCAAAAAATTTTGAAACCCACCACTGGTGGGTGTGTAATGTCCCACAGTTATCTACGCATTAATAATGATCTAGTAATATTTCCTTATACATTTTAGGGACCTTTCCTTCCATAATTGGTGTTTTCTTTCATACTTTTGGATTTCTAATTTCTGTTTCTGTTAGTTGGCAATTGCTAAAACCAATCCCACGTGAAAAAGTATTCAAAGCCTTCTTGATTTTAATTGTCAATTTATTTATTCCTGCACATTGTAATATTTTTTCATTTACATATCTCTGTTTTTCCACTGTTGTGCAAACATAATTCCAGCAGCTGCTAACATGTATAAAATTAAATATATATTATACTCCCTTTCAAATAGCCAACAAAATATTTCTGGTTTTAATTCTATATCTTGCTTTGCGATTGCTTCTAACCACTAACTTCTGAATAGCTACTTGGACCGACCTAAGTACTAATTCATAATTTCATATCCGGTCACATGGGCGGCAAGCCACTCCCACAAAGGAGGCCACACCCACAGAGTAGGTTCCAACAATTTTTGAAACCCACCACTGCGACCACATGACCACAGAGACATCTTCGGACAACGCTGGCTGTTCAGCTTTGAAACGGAGATGAGCACTGCCCCCTAGTTAGGAACGACTAGCACATATGTGCAAAGGGAACCTTTACCTTTACCTATTGGTGGATAAAATTAAAAGCATACTGAAACCTTTTTTATTGTCTAGTTTATTTGCAAATACACCAATGGAGCACAAGTAGGGCCCTCCTGCAAGGCAGATGATTTGTGACTTCATATCAGGTAATGGGAGAGGGAAGCTCTTTGGCCCAAGATGCTTTCATCCATTCCTTTGCAACTTGTTTTCTTGTCCTTCTTAGCTTCTCCTCTTACTTCCTACTGTCTCTCAGTGAACATTTGCTGTTATTCAGCAATCAGTGGCACAGATAGAGTAATGATTATGGGACTAAAATCACATTATACAAGTACAATTTTTAAAACCCACCTTGTCATTCAATAGAGTGCTGTGGTTAAGTCAAGTTCCTGCTCGTTGTCATAATCTTTTAGTCTTTCTCTCCCTTTTGTTTTTCTCTCCTTTTCTTTTGTTATGTAGATGAGTTCTGTTCTCAATCCCAGGGTGAGTTTCCACTGCGGGAAGCCTACATTCGGTATGGTTCCAGAGTTCGGCTTATCTGTACAACTACTGGGCTAGCACTGCCTCCTCTGGTAAGATTTTAATAATAACTTGGAAGAAAAAAGCACTGCAGAAGTAACATTTTGGAATAGTCTATAACTTTACAATAGTATCTTGGTGCTTGCACTGATCATCTTCTCTCTTCAGCCTATACCTACACAAAATTTATATAGTGACTACATAAAACAGAGATATTCATCAGTTGTAATATTAGAAGATTGCTGCAGACTAATAGAGAAGCAGAAGTACTCACAACAAATGTAAAAAGGTGTGGTTGTGCAATTGTAGCTCCCTTTGTATGGGCATCATCCATGTGACAAACGTAAAAATGGATGAGCTTCCTTCTTGACTTTTGGGGATTTTCTTCACAGACACTAAGAGACACAGAGAAAGAGAAGAGACTATATAAGTGACATTTATATCTCCAGTCAACACGTTTCTGATATCACTAGCAACATTTACTATATTCTTGACAATTGACATATCTGCTAAGCATTCCATTTATTCTCATGCACATGCTGTACTTCCATCATATACTGTTATCACATTCAAGCATCTTACCTTCAACTCCATATTCATCCAAAATTCCCTAGTATTTCATATTTGCTAACAATAATGATTTTAGATTTTGTTGTATGCCGCACAGAGTCATTTGCTCATGAGATGAGCAGCTCTATAAATTAAATTTTAAAAAACCCAGGCTGTTTTTGCTTGCCATATTCTTTTTTTAATGAATACGTTTTCTAACCTTTATACTTCTCTCTTGACCTGCTGAAAAGCAAAAATCTGTTCCACAAACATTTGGTTGGTGTAAAATTGCATTATATCTTTCCAAATTTTCCTTTTTTGATGTGGGGACCTCTTTCAGTCAGAGTTGAGAAGACCTCTGGAGGGACTGGAATGCTCCATATCCATTCTAGTCCTCCTTGACCTCAAAGTGGCTTTAAATGCTATTGATCATAATCTCCTTCTTGACAAACATAAGAGTATGGAAGTTGGGAGTCTGGGAATGTACAGTGATTCTTCTTCCTCTGGATTCAGTTCCAACTGGTATTGTGGGGAAGGGGCCCACCTCTAAGTCCCTAAAGAGTTCCATAGGGCTCACCTGTGTTCCTATTCTTATTTAACGTCTACATGAGGTTGTTGGGTGGAGTCATCCAATGGCACATATTTAGGTATCATCAATATATTGTTATACAATAATTGTTGACAATAATTGTCAAATGCAATTGGTTGATGATATCATCAAGATGCTTGCTCAGCATCTCATGGAAAGGACAGGCTCAGGCTCAATTTGGCAAGACTGAGTGGGTATGGTTTTGGGAACCTCCCACAGCTAGTGCATAGTTTTTTGGGTGGAGGACTCTTGGTTGTAAGTTCCCATTCAAAGATTAAATAGTAGTCGGCGTTGGAGTGCTTTGCATCAGTCCCGAGTACAATCCTTGGACTTTGCATAGGTTGCCATTTTTCTTCCTATTCTGTCCTCTGAAGCACAGTTTTAAAAATCTGAACTGCAAATGTCAAATGGTTTTATATTCTCTTTTGAGCTTTTGTTATGTCTATTTATCCTTGAGATCATTCGCAAAGTTGCTAAGCAATTGGTAATGTTGGATGTGGATGAACCAGTTTCCCAGTTGCATAAATGTGCATTCCAGTTTCATGGGAGTGATAGGATGTACCTCTGCCTCTCAACAGAGAAAGTTATCCAGTATCAGGTAATGTGAATGCGGTTGTCTTCCAGTAACCAACCTAAGTGTATTGCAGGTAGCCACAAAGTTTGAAGTTGTTCAAGTTGTTTGAGTATAAACAAGGATGTTCCTGCTTGTAGTCAGATGAAGGAATCAAATCAACTAATGAGAAGTAAAAGCAAATGTGAGCAAATAAGTCCCTCCTCCCCATTCTCCTTAATCTTCAAGAACAAACAAATATTTTGAGCTGGTAAAACTTCTGGGAGTGCACAGGCTCCAAAAATGTTTAGACCTTTAGAAAACTATTGTTAGATACCTGTGAAATTTACCTGCTATCCATAAAGGGTCAAGAGAATGGCCATGATGAACACTGTCACTCTTCCCTTCATGTGTTCAGTACATGAAGAAGACTATCTGAATATAGCAGTAATAGCAATAGCAGTAGACTTATATACCGCTTCATAGGCCTTTCAGGCCTCTCTAAGCGGTTTACAGAGAGTCAGCATATTGCCCCCAACAACAATCTGGGTCCTCATTTTACCCACCTCGGAAGGATGGAAGGCTGAGTCAACCCTGAGCCGGTGAGATTTGAACCGCTGACCTGCTGATCTAGCAGTAGCCTGCAGTGCTGCATTTAACCACTGCGCCACCTTGGCTCTGAATAGACCACCCTGACGCTACTGCCCTTTTCCCCATAAAAATTGGGACTTGTGAGAAGGAAAAGTGCATGATTGTATATCACTATATTAATTGGATACAACTGGAGAATTATAGATGGCTATTTTCATTACCCCCTGAGCACACTGAAGTAATTGCCAAACCTTGACCAAGATTTATCTCAACTGGATATGATTACAGTTTCCCATGGCCATAATCAAGGCCACTTCAGCAACATAGAAATGGGAAAATTAATTGGGGAGATACTAAAAAAAATACTTTGCTCTTTTTTGTTGCAAGGTAAAAATACTGAAATGGAAAGTTGAAAGTTTATGTGACCTCTATAATTCCATTGTTTTAACCATTCAAGCATTTCATTATTTCACTAACATCATTCTATCAAACATTAGTAGAAAATGGCAACTACCATACCAATCAGGCTTTAGGCTTGCCCAACCTGCCATTCACAATAATTGGACTAGAGGATCTCTAGCTAGCATGGAAATTTGTATGGTCAGTATGGAAATTTGTATGGTCAGTGCAGTGAGTGCTGTCTTGGTTGGCTTAGTTCAGTGATTTTCAAACTTTGTAATTTTAACTCCCAGAATTCCCAGTGGGCATGCTGAAGTCTATACATTTTAAAGTTACCAAGTTTAAAAAGGATTGCCTTAATTCCATTCCTTAGCTCTAAGTAGAAAGAATTTTCTTATAAAGTAAAACAGGCGGGCTCCATTTCTATTGCATTTTAATCAAGAATTTGCTGGCTTTTAAATAATTGTATTATTACTTTGGATTGTTTTAAATAAATCTATCTACCAGTGTCTATCTCTCTGCTTTGTATTTGTGATGCTTTTGTAAAATAATTGCATTTCAGTAGGCAGAAAAGTGATTTATAATCACATTGATGAATATATTCAAAGTTGATCTTTATTGCTATGCAGGCATCTCCCTGTCCCAAAGAAATAAACCGAGAATTGCTCAATGACAGTTCCTGTTGGACCATCATTGGGACAGAAGCTGTGGAATACTCATTCAGCCTCAACCCAACCAGCATCCAGAATCCAATAGGTCCTGTCCCTCTTATAACAACTTTGGAGGTACATAGAGGTGTTTTTTTCATGCTCTTTTGCCTTGTTGCTTTGTGCAAAAAATCAGGGGACAAAACATTGGCTATTTCATCTTAATAACTTTATCCCCAGTCATAACAACAAAAACTGAAGATTCATTTAGTCTTCCTCTCCTTGAAATGGCAATAAAAGATTGTGCAGAGTGTATTAAATTATTCTTTACTTCTACAATCATCTCTACAAACAGTTGTTTAGATAAAACATTCCATTTTCACTGAATCAGAGACTTGTATGAATTAATTAATATAGAATGTACAAGACTAATGTGGAGCTCGTTGGGAACAGAAAGCAGCAACTGAAGTGTGGCTGCAGAAAGATATGTTTATTGATGAGACTAAAATGAAGAATTACATTGGTGCCTTGTGTTCTTCCATATCTTGGAAGCATTCCGATGGGAGGCATAAGAGTAAGCATAACCTGAGGGGTTTTTTAGGTTCTCTTAATGCAGTTTGGAAACTAAATTATATGAACCATACCAAAATCTTTTGTTTTCCCATTTAAATTATTTATTTACTACTGTGACTTCTATAAGCATCGGTACATTTTACCCCTCCAAGCATGGTTCAGATATATCAGAAAACTGGGAAACCACATTTCTCCAGGTATTCAACATTCAGCCCTAGATTTAATTTGATAGTGTTTATGGCAACAGGTGTTACAGTTTATAGCCTTTCGTGCAAAGCCAAAAACATTCAAGTCAAAATATGAGTATCCTTGTTTTAAAGTCCATAGAGGTGCAAAATGTATTTTATACATTTTTTATTTTATTTAGTTTGTCAAACATGTACAAGATAACAGGTATAAGTATGAACATGGACATGAACAAGGGAAATGAGTACAAATAAATGGGGACAATAGGACAGGGATGGAAAGCACACTGATGCACTTATGCATGCCCCCTTTATGAACCTCTTAGGAATCGGGTGAGGTCCACAGTAGACAGTTTAAGGTTGAAGCTGTGGGGGGTTTGAGGATGTAACAACGGAGTCAGGTAGAGCATTCCGGGTGTTGACCATTCTGTTGCTGAAGTCGTATTTTCTGCAATCAAGCTTGGAATGGTTTACCTTGAGTTTGTATCTATTGTTTGCCCAAGTATTATTGAGGTTAAAAATGAAGTAGTCGTTGACAGGTAGGACATTGTAACAGACAATTTTGTGTACCATGCTTAGGTTCAATCGCAGATGACACAGTTCCAGATTGTCAAAATTAATTAATTAAAATAAAATTAATTGTCAAAAGTAGGACAAAGTGCTGGGAGGAAAGACTATATTGTACCTTCATGATCAGATGGACAATCCTATGCTTGGGTTTGTTTTTCACAGCTGACCGGTGGAGGGGATGTGGCAATGCTGGAAGTCCAAGGCAACTATTTCCATGCAAACATGAAAATTTGGTTTGGAGATGTGGAAGCAGAGACTATGTACAGGTAAAGCAGACACAGACTGTCCTGAACCCACAGCATGATCAGTTGGGCAAGGCTCACAGCCACTATTCGTTGCACAACCTCCAAAAGCATCTCTTTCAGAGAAATCAGGATTGAATGAAATGGATTGGTGCAATATTGGTTGCTGTGTTTAGTAATTCGATTTTTTTTAACTTATACCGGTAGTAGAAGGCAGCACCTTCTAAAATATCGAGTTCCTGACAAAGAAAAGTGAGATAACTAAATCACACAGCAGCAGCAATGTAATTGTATGGTTTCTTCTGTGAAAAGAAGACAAACACTCCCTTTCTGATAAGTTTGGAAACTGGGTCCCCAAATCTCCAATTTTTATTTCATGTTTATAATGTCAGGCATCTTGTGGCTGATACCAGATCTATCACATGGGTAGGGATTTAAGTAAGTTTATTGCAAAAGCTACAAAGGAAAACTCAATTCACTGCAAACTAAAAAAACCAAGCCTTCTTTCTAGTAAAAACAACATTTCAACAATATGCCTCTTTCTCTTGGCTATACAATACAACCAGCTCAAGGTCTCTTACTTCTGATGGAAGAGAGGTTAATGGAAAACTACTATAATGAATAAGTTTAGGTTCATATTGTTTGCTTCTGACTTTGTCCACACTAGTTCTCGTAGATAGTGTATTTTGCTAGAAAATCAAGATGAAGTGTATAAAGGCATCTCATTTTCATCCACAAGACAACACTGTATGATAGATTAGCCCCCGGGTGTCAAACTCATGGTGTCATGTTGTCATCACATGTCGTATTGCGACTTTTTCCCCCTTTGCTAAACCAGGGTTGGCATGGCCAGTGTGTGACATATCTGGCCTGCGGGATTTCCCCTTTGTTAAACCAGGGTTAGCCTGAAAGATAAAGATTGGAGAGTCCATGGCTGAATGTGAACAATCAGAATGTGGCTGTTTGAGTCTAACAGACTTAGCATCCGTGAATGCATGAGTGGGCTGCTACGAATTCACCCAGGTTCAGGAGAACCCGTAGCTAACATTATGGCCAGTTCAAAGAACCTCCAAATCCCACCCCTGGCTGTTCTACTGTTCTAATTTAGCTGCTTGAAAAATCTAGTGAGCCTATCCTGTGAGGAGAGCGGGGAGGAGAAAAAGCACATATTGTAGATATGTACCGTATTTTTCAGAGTATAAGACACACCAGAGTATAAGACACACCAAGGTTTTGAAGAGGCGAATTTAAAAAAAAGTTTTTGCACTCTGCAGACCTCCCCAAAATGGCCCATTTTTGCAAAAATGGGCCCTTTTTTTCAAAAAAAGGGCAGGAATAGCTTTTAAGAGGCTTATAGAGTGCTCCTGGGGCAAAATTGAGCAAAAAACGGCCTGTTTTTCGCTTATTTCTGCCCTCCCCAGCCCCCAGGAGCACTCTGAAAGCCTCCTAAAGACTCTGCATGGCCATTTTGGTGAATGAGGAGGGGTTTGGGGAGGCAAAAAAGTGTATAAGACGCACCCAGATTTTCAACCTCTTTTTTGAGGGGAAAAGGTGCATCTTATACTCCGAAAAATACATATATATAAATATATGTATTTATATATAAATATGTGTATATAAATATGTGTGCATGCACACACCCAAACCCATAAATGAATTTCTTTTTGTTTTGTTTTGTTTTTGTTTAGGAATTCCAAGTCATTAGTGTGTGTTGTTCCTGATATCTCTGCATTCAGGCCTGATTGGAGATGGTTGCGATACCCAATCACTGTCCCCCTTCTGCTACTAAGGAACGATGGTCCGATTTATTCCAGTATATTCAGCTTCACATATACACCAGAACAGGGTTTTCTGTGTGGCCAACCCCTCCTGCCAGAAATGGTGCAGGATTCTGACACCTTGCTCAATACCATCCATCAAGAATTCACTAAGACAAATTATCATCTTTTCATGCAAAGTTAGAACTGGAACTGTATGGTCACCGTTGTTTGGCTAGAGCAGAAATTGTGGCAAATACATGGCTTTTCTAAAATTATGGAATGTGGTTTTTCTAAAATAGGATCATATGAACATTTTATTTTTAAATGGTGCTCTGTACACATATTAAAGCATAAAGCTCTGTGCTTCAACACAAGAAGGACGGGAATTACTTAACAGCAATGCATTGCTTTAGTAGGGAACAAGATTGCTGTTTTAGCCTATATTCCCTATTTGCCATCTTGTAGAATATGATTCTCAGTAGAATATACTATTAATATATATTATATAATTCTGTGATTATTTAATATAATTGTAACTGCATCAACATAGGCAAACTCATGTTGCATATTTATCAAGTATCTACTAAAACGCAGCAACAGCTAGCAATTCTAGTGCTCATGTTGCAGTGATAGTTTTAATGTAAATGTGACAGTTGGTAAAAGGGCGTATTCAAGCATTTGCAAGGCTGGAGATAAAAAATATCAGAACTGCTGTCACAATTGCTTTTTTAAAAACTTCTTTATTTTATTTGCTTGTGTGGTTTTATTTATTGGAGAACCAAAAAAGAATATTTGTTGGGGAGTTGTATGAGAAAACCTCCAAGGTCCCTTCCAACTCTCTTATTCCAACAAGAGACACGGTGGAGCAATGGTCTGAATGTAGTATCGCAGGCTAATTCTGCCAACTGCCAGGAGTTCGATTCTGACCGACTCAAGCTTTCCATCCTTCTGAGGTCAGTAAAATGAGGACCCAGATTGTTGGGGACCATATACTGACTGTGTGAACCGCTTAGAGAATGCTGTGATCTGCTTAGAGAATGCTGTAAAGCACTATAAAGTGGCATATAAGTCTAAGTGTTATTGCTATTCTGATAGTCTGTTGGGCAGTTGAAGGGAATTGTAGTTAGACCAGTTTCTGCTGTACAGAAATGTATTCCTCTTTACCTCTCTTTGGTTTTCAGAGCACTTCTAAACCAATGAAAGTCAAATGAATATGTGAAGTGGTTATATGGTTACATAAATAAGATGAAACAAATCATATCAAACAAATCTCATTTTTAAAAGAGAACATCCCCCATTTATGTACTTTCAAGAAGATACACAATTGTCCGTGGGAGGAATATCTTTAGATGTTTTTTGCTTCAAACAAAAGCCTACCCCACCCAGAGGTGGGATTCAGCTGGTTCGGGCAAACCGGTAGCTCCGACGATCAGCTGAAAGCGAACTGGTTCTCTCCGATGATCAGGTGGGCCCACCCACCCACCCCTGCACTATACTGACCTATATTTTCTTTGTTTGAAGCCCAGCTGATAGGCGCGGCAGAGCGGATTGCCGCACCTCAGCTGTTTTACTCACCAGGGCTGAAGTAGAAGGTAAGTTTTTGAGCTGTTTTCAAATGCTCTGCAAGTGCACAGAGCACACGCTCAATGAACCAGTTGTTACACCATTTGAACACCACTGCCCCCACCCAAACCATCCGGTTGATATTTAACAGTCATTGCAGAGGTGGGTTCCTACTGGTTTGGACTGGTTTGGCCAAGTAAGAAGTAACTCAGCCTGCCACACTCTTAAATCAGTGCTATTGGTGGCGCTGTAGGTGCCGCCATCTCTGTTTTGGCTTCTGTGCATGCATGCATAGCGCGCATCGAGTGTACGCTCCCAAAGCGCACCCGAAGTGTGTCCATGAGTGAACCGGCAGTAGCAGAAACTGGAACCCACCCCTGAGTCACTGAGACACCAGCTCCTCACTTTAATAGCTGAGAATGAACCTCCAGGAATCTCTACTGTAGAACCACTTTCCCATAGTCGTCAAATATCTGAAACACAATATTTTATACAAGGTGGCATTTTCCCAGAGAAATAGATCGCTCTTTGGGATTGTTGCTTCAAAGAGCTGCCATCACATGCTTAAGTTCTCCAATTTCAGTTGTCAAAATGTTTCCAGTTCTTAACTAACATCAATATTTAACTAATCCTAGTTTTAAGGAAGTAATAACGTCTGAAAGTTCAGGAAAATAGCATGCTAGTGGGCCTTTTTTAAGTGTTCAGGAATTTTAAAAAAGATTTATACCCCCTTTTAGATTGAGCTGTGAGTCCAATTGCCAATTAATTTTAAGCAAGCAATGCAATCCTGAAAGCTATCGGAGGAGAGAGAGAGAGAAGGCAGTAAAGTTTGACATTTTCTTGCAAGAGGCAGTAGAAAAGGATTAAACAATATTCCATTCATTGGTCCACCTAAAGAACGCCCTTCATTGAACCACCACTATGCAGTCCCCTTCATATATAAATGTGTGCACAGTTCTTTATTAATAATTTTCTAGCAAGTTTCAAAGGATTTGGGGAAGCCTATGCAATGTCCCATACACAACGTTGGCTTGAAGGTTTATTCTGAATGATGAATACAGCACCAAAGGGGCAATCCAACATTCTAAGAAGTGTTGTTTTAGCATCCAGTGCCAACTTAGAAGAGAACCTGTTGCCAAAACTGTACTGACTTTTCTAACTGTGATGAACTCTTGAAAGCTTATAAAAGAGATGGGTGGAACAGACCGCAAGCTAATGACTGTCAGTTTCCTAAGAGAGCCAAGTGAGCCATGCCAACAAGAAGCCTATTTTATTTTTATGGCCATTTGAAATCCTGTGGTTGATGTGCTTCAGATTAGCACAGCAATCATTTAATGCCAATAGTTTCTAAGTCTGGGCTCTCATCCATATCGCTTTATGTTAACTCGGGTACTTCTACAGTATCAAAGATTCAGTTCATTTATTCATTAAGAATGCTAATCTCATTAACAGGTGACCCACCTTTGACACACCAAAGTACTTCTAGCCATTCACAGATTACTGTTGCAGCCCAGTGCAGCGCCCTACCAATTCTAACTACACCTTTGCAAGCCAAGGTGTACTTTATTTTCATATACAGTATTGTGTTATTATTCATTCCCAAGTCTAGAGCACTAAACCTACATCTCTCTATGTTATCCTCACAACAATCTTATAAATACCATTGAGAGTCAGGAGTGTCACACTACAGTATTGCCATTTTAATATGTTAAGCTAACATTATCCAAATACGATGAAACTGCCACATCCAGAATTCCCATGTGTGAAGAAATCCAGTGATTCTACCATATCTGGATGACACCTGATTAGAAAAATTATCTCTGAGTGCAAATAATTTGGTCTTCTACCATGTGGGTTTCATTGGTTATGCCTTTCAAACGTTTGAAAGCAAAATGAATTTATTGTATACTTGTTTACATAAATAAGTGCCAAATGTAATTTCCACCAAATTATGAGCCTTCGCCAGAGCTGGTGCACTATTATGTCGATCACTGTCGGAAAGGAGAAACCTGTGCCATGAATTGTCATTATGTGGAGGGCATTAAGTTGACTAAAATTAAACTGCATTGTGGCTTACTGTACTATGTGAATCAGCTATAGTTTGATCATAATTACTCTGGCTTATGTGTTTGTGTTTTGTTTTCCTTGATGCATCCCTCAAAAAATGTAATGTACATTCAGAAAGACATCTAGAATTTCTCTTGGATGAATGATGTGTATTATAAAAGATAAGATATTGGAAATGGATATTTAGAGGTATTATTCAGAAAGCCCCTTGGCTACTTTGAAAATGTTTTATTTTCTTTTAAATTGTTTTATGGATTCAACCAATTGCCTGTTATCAAACAAACATTGACTTGGTAAATCATGGCTCTATGTGATGTGCAAACTAGACATTGATGGAATTGTGTTGACCTTCAAAGTGTGGTATCTATCACACAATCTGGCCCTCGTAATGCTTTCTTTTGAGTATCAGAGCCAATCTGGTCTAGTTGTTAAGGCACCAGGCTAGAAAACAGGAGAGTGTGAGTTCTAGTGCCACTTAGCCATGAAAGCCAACTGGATAACTTTGGGCTGATTATTCTCTTTCAATCACTTTCTCTTTCAAAGTATTGTTGTTGTGGGAAAATAGGGGGGGGGGGAGGAAGGGTGTTAGATATGTTTGCTATCTTGAGTTACATGTACAATAATAAAGATAGAAAATAAATAAATAAATAAATAAATAACTGTTCTTCATTACATTACATTGTGAACAGAGGTTTGCAAAAGTCTGAACTATCTTCATATACATACTCATCCATATCAAACTAAAAGTGGTTTGAGTGCAAAACAGTTATTACACATTTGAAGCAGATTACTCTGATAATTTTTGAAACATTTTGACTTTGAAACAGAGTTATTTCTAGCATAACTTGATTCTAAAATGACAGCCTGTTTCAAGCTCAGAATAGCTATTTTGTACTCCAAAAACAAATGTTTCAAACTTGAAGAAGGGCTTTCTGAATTTGACATTATTTACATTCAAAATATTTTGTATATTATTGGTCCCAAGCATTTAAAATCAATTATAATGTACACTACATACATTTTTGTACTTCTGATAGTGCCTTTTACAAGAGGCAGTCTTAGTCCTTGCAAGGCCATATTTGACTCCACCTTACAAAATATTTATGGGATGGTTGTTTAAGTAAGTTATCTTTTCTCCTATCTTCACATGATATTGTTGGGGGGGGGAAGAACAACTGGGGGCAGATCCAACTTTCTGGCTTGCCTATTACAATTAAGGGATACTCATTACTTCCTGAGTGGGGAGACCTCCTCCTCTCCCCTCCCTAGACATTGAAAATGCACACCATACTTGTGTTAGTCAATTCCAATACAAAACTACAAAGACCTGAACCATCTTAGCTCCTTCAGAGCTTATGGCCTCTGCCATATATAACACTCTGTTCTAGTAGCAACTCAAGATCAAAGTAACTATGATAATTGATACAACCCTCCCCTCCAAAGACTGGGTTTTCCCTTGTGCTATCATTTTGTTCTGCATGGTTAAGTTCTCTACTGATTAGCAGTTACTGGGTTTTTTTAAAAAAAATGATATTAATCCAATGATGACCCATAGTCAATGAACTATTCTCAACTCAAGATCTTCATTCAAGTCATTTATCTCCCAGAGGGCACTCTTTTGATTTCTAACCAGGCTGGGTGAAACATCCCATTATTTTATGAATGCATTTTTCTTTTTAATGATATTGTCTACTATTTAATTGTTCACTCAATTTTAACACTCGTTACATGTTCAAAAGCAAACCCTCTGACAAAATTCAACAAAGGATCTGAAGCTATGTCTAAGCCCCTGAAGACTCCTGAATAATTGCAAGTCAATGGAAGTTAACCTGTAAGCATAGTTTCTTCTAATCTTCTGCCGTTCAGAAATACTGGGCTATAACATGCTGGCTATGGAAAATGGGACCTGTACTCTCACAGATCTGGAGAGCATTAAACTAAGACACCCTGGGATTACTTAAGATCTTAACTAGTCTTCCTTTCCCTCCTTCCTTCCAATTATTCCTTCCTGAATACTTTCATTGATTAGTGCTATAATCCACCCACAATGTTTAGGAAATGATGGATAAAATTATAATTAGTCTAAGGAATTTTGACACACTAAACATAATTCTTGAAAGAAAGCATCTCCCGCAGTTTGGCAGGATATTTCCTGGAAACTTTTCCCTCTTCTACATGATAAATTCCATTTTTAGCAAATGCAAAACTGCAAACAAAAAGTCCATTCTGTTGCTTGGCTCTCAATGCCAAAGTGATGTTCTTGTTTGTTCAG